TGGCCTGAGCAGCCGCCTCTGCCCTGAGAAGGTCTTTTGTTCCAGCTCCCCGTGACGCCCCCAGCCCAGCCCATGAGGCAGGCCTCCCTGTGGCTTCCCGTGGCAGGCAAGCCTGACTCCGAGGCTGGAGCTCTTTTCTAACAGTAATAGTAAGAAAATAGCAGCAGCCACTCATGAGTCCCGTGCCAAGCACACTGCAGACATCAGTTCTTTTTTTCTTATAGAGATATGGTCTGTTTCTGTCACCCAGGCTGGAGTGCAGTGGTGTGATCATAGCTCACTGCAGCCTCGACCTCCCGGGCTCAAGCGGTCTTCCTGCCTCAGCCTCCCGAGTGGCTGGGACTACAGGCCTAGCCACTATGCCAGGCTAAGTTTTTTGTATTTGTAGTAGACACAGGGTTTCATCATGTTGCCTAGATTGGTCTCAAACTCTGGTCTCAAGCAATCCTCCCGCCTTGGCCTCCCAAGGTATTGAGAGTATAGATGTGAGCCACTGAGCCCAGCCTCTCGTTTTTGTTTTCTTCCTTTTGCCCTGTGACTGTTTTCCTGATCATTGGTCGGTCTGGGACCTGGACAGAGCTACTGCCGACTCCTGACTCGCACTGGAGCTGAATGAGACCTTTATATTCTCTCCTCTGGGACTCACTCATTCATCCAATAAGCATTCATTGGGAAGTGAGCCCTTCTTGTATGCATTTAGGCACTGATCAGACATTTTGGGGGTCCCCTCTGTGTGGGGGTCTCTATGATCACTAGCTATGGGGCTGCTCTCTTTCAGTTTTCCCATCTGTAAAATGGAAGTAATCGTTGGACCTACCTCCTAAGGCTGTTAGGAACCTTGGGAGAGGTAATGTTTTGCAAAAGTAGTTAGAAAAATGCCTAATGTGATCTTGGCATGGTGCCATGAGCCTGTAGTCGCAGCTACTCTGGAGGCTGAGGCAGGAGGATTGTTTGAGCCCAGGAGTTCGAGGCAGCAGTGAGCTATGATTGTGCCACTGCACTGGAGCCTGGAAGACAGAGTGAGACCCTGTCTCTAAAAAGAGAAAGAAAAATGTCTGATGTGTAACAGACGCTCAGTAAATGCCATTGTTCTTATGGGAGGACTGGTGGAAGGGGCCCAGTGAGGGGGTTTCCCAGCCGTTGCCTGGACAGTGAAGGACCTGGAGTGGGTGCAGCTGTTCTGAGGAAGGCTCCTGCCAGGGTTTCGCCCTGCAGTTGGGCTTCAAGACTCTGACATACAGGGCTGCGCAGAAGGTAGGATGGCCCAGGGGGCGGGGGAGGTTGGTTCATGCTGGTTGCCATGCATCTGCCGGGAGAGCACGAATTTGCAAATCCAACTAATCTCTTGCATTCATATGTTCATTCATTCAAGAGACATTCATTGAGCTCCTGCTGTATGCTGGGAGCTGGAGATGAAGCAGGGAATGACTCATAGAACTCAGTCTGGTAGAGAGATAGTCACTAATAAAAGCATCCTGTCAAGTGACAGCGTGACCAGTGTGCTGAAGGTCAAGTTCAGTTGGGAGCTCAGAAGAGGCTTCTCTTATGTGCAATTGGAAGCAGACAGGGCAGAGGGAATGGCTCATGCCAACACCCACAGGCAGCTGGCGTGACTAGAGGCAGATCGTGTAGGTGGGGCAGGAGCCTGGGTCTGGAATCAGAGCTCTCTGGGCATCCTCCAAGCCACGAGGGCAGTGCCTGTCTCACCTGTGTGAAGGCTGGGTATGGGGAACAGTAGGATTGACCAAGAACAGGTGCCCTCATGCAGGGGTAAGACCCTCCCCTTCAGGGACAGGAAGAACATGGTGGCCAAGGGCAGATGTGGCCCCTCCCTCTCCCTTCCCATCTGCCTGACAGCTTTTACTGACTACTTACTGCAAAGCACCTACTGTGTGCGGGTCCCAAGGACCCTGTGATGTACAAAACTGTCGACTATAGCAGGGCACAGTGACTCATGCCTGTAGTCCCAGCACTTTGAGAGGCCAAGGTGGGAGGGCTGCTTGAGCCCAGGAGTTTGAGACCAGCCTGGGCAACATAGTGAGACCCCATCTCTACAAAAAAATACAAAAATTAGCCAGGTGTCGTGGTGCATGCCTGTAGTCCTAGCACTTTGGGAGGCCAAGATGAGGATAGCTTGAGCCTGGGAGGTCTAGGCTGCAGTGAGCCGTGATTATGCCACTGTACTCCAGCCTGGGTGACAGAACAAGACTCTGTCTCAAAAAAAAAAAAACAACAAACAAACAAACCATTGTCGACTCTGCATGGCCCCCTTCCAGCGAGGGCAGAGGCACCTACTTCTGCTTTTTGGGGTCTCTTGCGGAGATCGGCCATGGGGGCTCCACCATGGCCTCATGTGGCAGGGGCACCCTTCATTGCCACTGCCCTGCAGACATGCCCAGCGGGACATGGCCACATGCAGAGACGGTGCCTGTGGAGGGGTGTGTGGCAGAGAGAACCCCATTTGCAGGTTCGCATCTCCACCTTGCTTTCCCTTTCATGGGTTCTCTACAGACACCTTGCAAGGTGGATGCCATGCTGCTACCTGGTTGCCAGATAAGGAAATCCAGGTTCAGAGAGGTTGAGTCAGGTGTCAGGAGCCACACAGCCAATACGTGGCCCCCTTTGTAATGTGAGCCCTGGGAGAGCAGTGTTCGTATGTGCTGTTCACCATGGTATCCCGGGGCCTAGCTTGGTGTCTGGCACACAGTAGGCCCTCAGTAACACCTGAAGGGAGGATGAAGGAGGGCATGGTTGGAGGCGGTAATTGTACCCAGGCCCCTGTGGCTCTGGCTATTGTGCAGCCACTACCCCTGCCCAGGGAGAGAGTCATTGGAGTGGCACCGCTGTTCATTCAGGGTGTGCTAATATCAGGGATCTGGGGCCCCGTTTTGTGCCCGAGTAGGGAGAGCTTTTCTTCTCCATCTTGAAGAACAGACGTGGACATGTGGTCGCCAGCAGGGGCCCAGGCCCAACCAGGGTCATGAAGAAGGAAGGATGGTGCCCACAGAGGTCCCAGCTGTTCTGTACCGCAGACAGCAGAGGAGTGGGGGATCTCAGTGCCATTCTGGTGATGTTGTGTCTAAGGAAAGGCCCTCTGGCCACGGGAGGAGAAGGATGCCCCAGTTGAGATGGGCAGGCAAAGGTCTGCCAGTCCTGAGGGTCCCCTGTCAGTGCAGGAAATCCCTCTGGACCCCTTGTGACTTTTGTTAATTTATTCCTTTTTATTTTTTGTTTTATATTTATTTTTGTTTTTGTTTTTGGTGTGTGATTTTTTTTTTTTTTTCCCCAGGACAGAGCCTTGCTCTGTCGTCCAGGCTGGAATGCAGTGGCATGATCTCAGCTCACTGCAACCTCTGCCTACCAGGTTCAAGTGATTCTCCTGCCTCAGCCTCCCAAGTAGCTGGGATTACAGGCACGCACCACCACACCCAGCTAATTTTTGTATGTTTAGTAGAGACAAGGTTTCACCATGTTGGCCAGGCTGGTTTCGAACTCCTGACCTCAGGTGATCTGCCCACTTCAGCCTCCCAGAGTGCTGGGATTACAGGTATGAGCTGCTGCGCCTGGCCCGTTTTATATTTATTTTATAGACACCAATAATATACTCTCATTGCAACATGGAAATAACAATAATAGCAGACAGTCTTTCTTAAGCATTTTCTATGTTCTAGGGCTTTATGTCTATCAATTCATGCTCATAATATGCCTATGAAGTAGGCATGATCATGGTTCCCCTCTTACAGATGGGGAAACTGAGGCAGAGTAGTAGTCACATAAGTCACTTAAGGTCCCATAACCAATAAGTAGTGGTTGCTGGGCTTTTTTTTTTTTTTTTCGAGACAAGGTCTTGCTCTGTAACCCAGGCTGGAGTGCAGTGGCACCATCTCAGCTCACTGCAACCTCCACCTCCTGGATTCAAGCATTTCTCCTGCCCCAGCCTCCTGAGTAGCGGGACTACAGGTACGCGCCACCACAGCCAGCTAATTTTTTTTATTTTCAGTAGGGATGGGGTTTCACCATGTTGGCCGGGCTGGTCTCTACCTCCTGAACTCAAGTAATCCACCCACCTGGGCCTCCCAAAGTGCTGAGATTACAGGCATGAGCCACCGCGTCTGGCTGGTGCTGGGATTTGAATCCACATTCCAGAATCTGTGTTCTTAGCCATCCTTGCTAGAGATAAGTAGTAGCAAGCTTCTTGGTTTCTTCCCCGCCATCCCTACCATCCCCACACCCCAATTCTGATTCCTCCCCAGAAATACTCACTGTTTCAGGATGGGTTTGTTTCTGCCAGACCTTTCTTGCCCACCATTTACAAAATGTTTGTGTACACATAAACATTAGTAGTTTGGTTTTATGTATGTTCATGTAAATGGGATCGTCTAGCGTGTCTTGTTCTGCTGTTTGCTTTTTCACTTAGTGAATAGCCCTGCCCTGGAGCTGTCTCAGAGGTGGGGGGGTGGGTCTTCCTCACCCTTTCCCCCTGCTGCAGAGTCTTCCAGCCTATAGATGGGCCAGATTCTTTCATCAGTCTCCAACTGGGGGCATTTAGGTTGTCTCTTAGAGTTTTTCCCCATTATAAATGTTGCAGCAGGAAATATGTAGCAGGGAGCAAGTATTTCTCTTGAATACTTAAAAGTGGGATTCCTAGAGCCTAATTGCTCTGACTAGGACTGTCAGTACTGTGTTAAATAGAAGTGACCAGAGTGGGCATCCTTTTCTCATCCCTGGCCTTAAAGGAAAAGTTGTCAACTTTTCACCATTAAGTGCAGTGTTAGCTGTGTGCTTATCATGTAGGGTCTTTATTTTATTTATTTATTTGTTTTTTGAGACAGGGTCTCATTCTGTTGCCTGGGCTGGAGTTCAATGGCTGATCATGGCTTACTGCAGCCCTGACTTCCTCAGGCTCCCAAGTAGTTAGGACTACAGGTGCGAGTGCTACAATGCCAACTCATTTTTGTGTTTGTCTTTTTGGAGAGATGGGCTTTTGCCATGTTGCCCAGGCTGGTCTCAAACTGGGCTCAAGCGATCTCCTGCCTCAGCCTCCCAAAGTGGTGGGATTACAGGCGTGAGCCTCCGAGCTCAGCCTTTATATAGGGTCAGTGTGTTAAGTACAACATATCATCTATGCTTAATTTGTTGAAAGTTTTTATAATAAAGTTATGTTGAATTTTGTCAAATACTCTCCCTGCATCTATTGAAATGATAATACGGTTTTTGTCCTTCAAAAGCAGGATTCCAGAGTCTAGAATCAATTCTGCCAAGTTGGCCATGCCCCTTACAGAATGCCACTTGGTAGGAGAGTGTGTGTTTCCCTGCATCTTCACCAGCACTGGGTGTTATGGTCGTGTCGGATTTCTGCTGTGGTTCGCGGTGTGTGACGGGCCGTCACCTGCTTGCCCACCTGCTCACTCCTTGTCGCCCCCCCACCCACATGTCTTTCAGCCCCGCCGCACCACCTGGGTCTCCACCATGAACGGGCCTGCCCTGCAGCCCTCCTCGGCCTCCTCCCCGCCCTCGGCCTCCCCGGCGCCGGCCCCGCGGGGCTGGAGCGAGTTCTGTGAGTTGCACGCCGTGGCGGCGGCCCGGGAGCTGGCCCGCCAGTACTGGCTGTTCGCTCGCGAGCATCCGCAGCACGCGCCGCTGCGTGCGGAGCTGGTGTCGCTGCAGTTCACCGACCTCTTCCAGCGCTACTTCTGCCGGGAGGTGCGCGACGGCCGCGCACCGGGCCGCGACTACCGGGACACAGGCCGTGGGCCCCCCGCCAAGGCTGAGGCGTCCCCGGAGCCAGGCCCCGGCCTCGCCGCCCCTGGCCTGCCCAAGGCCCGCAGCTCTGAGGAACTGGCCCCGCCGCGGCCGCCCGGGCCCTGCTCCTTCCAGCACTTTCGCCGCAGCCTCCGCCACATCTTCCGCCGCCGCTCGGCCGGGGAGGTGCCAGCGGCCCACACCGCTGCCGCCGTCGGGACCCCCGGAGAGGCTGCTGAGACCCCCGCCCGGCCCGGCCTGGCCAAGAAGCTCCTGCCCTGGAGCCTGGCCCGGGAGCCGCCACCCGAGGCGCTGAAGGAGGCGGCGCTGCGCTACAGCCTGGCCGACGAGGCCTCCATGGACAGCGGGGCGCGCTGGCAGCGTGGTAGGCTGGCGCTGCGCCGGGCGCCGGGCTCCGATGGCCCAGATGGCCCCGACCGCGTGCTGGAGCTCTTCGACCCACCCAAGGTAAGTAAGCCCTGCTCGCGGGGTTGCGCACTGTGCCGCGCCCTTCGCCTTCACCCTGGGGAGAGAGCCGGCTGGGGAGGTGTGATGGCTTTCCAGCTGGTGGCCACAGAGTGCCCAGAGGGAACTAGGCCCTCTTAAAAAAGAACTTTTAGGCCAAGTGCAATGGCTCACGCCTGTAATCCCAGCACTTTGGGAGGCCGAAGCAGGAGGATCACTTGAGCCCAGGTCTTCGAGACCAGCTTGGGCAGCTTAGCGAGACCCTATCTCTATAAAAAATTAGCCAGGTGTGGTGGTGCGTGCCTGTGGTCCCAGCTGCTCAGGAGGCTGAGAAGGGAGGATGACTTGAGCCCACGAGGTGGAGGCTGCAGTGAGCCGTGATCATGCTACCACACTCCAAGCCTGGGTGACAGAGTAAGACCCTGTCTCTAAATAAATAAAATAAAAAAGAACTTTTTATTTTTGAATTTTAGATTTACAGGCCAGGTGCAGTGGGTCATGCCTGTAACTCCAGCACTTTAGGAGGCCAAGGTGGGCAGATCATTTGAGGCCAGGGGTTCAAGACCAGCCTGGGCAACATAGTGAATCCCTGTTTCTACTAAAAATATAAAAAATTAGCTGGGCACAGTGGCGCACACCTATAATCCCAGCTACTTGAGAGGCTGAAGCAGGAGAATCACTTGAACCTGGGAGGGAAGGTTACAGTGAACCAAGATCACACCACTGTAGTCCAGCCTTGGTGACAGAGTGAGAGTTGGTCTCAAAAAAAAAAAAAAAAAAAAATTTTAGACTTACAGGAGAGTTGCAAAGATAGTAGTGTTCCTTTACACATGGTACCCAGCTTCACCGAAGGTTCATATCTTACGCTGCTGTGTACATTGGTTGTAGCTAAGGAACCAGCACTGGTACATCACTATTAGCTAAACGCCACTGTTCCTTTGGCTTTGCCAGTTTTCCTCTAATGTCCCTTTTCTGTTCCAGCTCGCCACCCAGGATACCACATGAAGTTTAGTCGTTACGTCTCCTTAGGGGCCTGCTGGCTGTAATAGTTTCCAACCCTCTATTGTTGATAGCCTTGGCGGTTTTGAGGAGTACCAGTCAAGGATTTTGTACAATGTCCAGGGACACCTTTTTGGCTTCCCATTTGGGTGTCATATAGACTGGTAGCAGGTCACTCTGAGATCCTTGAAAACCCTGACTTGGACTGGCGTTGACAGATTGTTGTTTTATTTCCAGAGGCCTCAAAACCATCAGAGAATTTCTCTGCACCTCCTGTGCCTTGGTGATGTTTTGCAAGTTAAAAATAATTTGTCCTTTGGCGAAACCCCATTGCTACAAAAAATACGAAAATTAGCTGGGCATGGTGGTGTACGCCTGTGGTCCCAGCTGCTCTGGAGGCTGTGGTGGGAGGATCACTTGAGCCCAGGAGGTCAAGGCTGCAGTGAGCCAAGATCGCACCACAGCACTACAGCCTGGGTGACAGAGCGAGACTCTGTCTCAAAAAAAAAAAAGTTCTTTTCCTTCACAGCTGGCTTAATTCCTACTGTGCTGTTGAGGCTGAAAAGTCACTGTGTTCTACTCACCTGACAGGCTCCATCTTTGACTCAGGTATGCATGACAGGACCATATAGCTTTCATCTAATTGCTCTCTCTTTGGGATCCTGTTACGTGGTAGGGCCTTACTCTAGAGCATGAGCAAAACCGATGTGATACTGGCCCTGAGGGGCTCACGATGGGGGTGGAGGAAACCTACGGTTACTCTTTCATTCATTCGACAGATATTTATGGAGCACCTACTATGTGTTAGGCACATTCTGGGGGACCAGGCGGTCTAGTGGAGGCTATTGAGGAAATAAACCCACAAATGAACATGGAATTAAAAATAGTAAATTGTGTTCTAAAACTGGTAAATTGTGTTCTTTTTTTTTTTTTTTTTTTTTTTTTTGGAGACGGAGTCTCGCTCTGTCGCCCAGGCTGGAGTGCAGTGGCCGGATCTCAGCTCACTGCAAGCTCCGCCTCCCGGGTCTACGCCATTCTCCTGCCTCAGCCTCCCGAGTAGCTGGGACTACAGGCGCCTGCCACCTCGCCCGGCTAGTTTTTTGTACTTTTTTTTTTTTTTTTTTTTTTGAGACGGAGTCTCGCTCTGTCACCCAGGCTGGAGTGCAGTGGCCGGATCTCAGCTCACTGCAAGCTCCGCCTCCCGAGTTCACGCCATTCTCCTGCCTCAGCCTCCCGAGTAGCTGGGACTACAGGCGCCTGCCACCTCGCCCGGCTAAGTTTTTGTATTTTTAGTAGAGACGGGGTTTCACTGTGTTACCCAGGATGGTCTCGATCTCCTGACCTCGTGATCCGCCCGTCTCGGCCTCCCAAAGTACTGGGATTACAGGCTTGAGCCACCGCGCCCGGCCAGGTAAATTGTATTCTAAAGGAAAAGCAATGGGGTCTCTGGGAGGATAACTGAGGGGTCCCGGTTTGGTGGTTTGGGAGAGTCATCCAAGAATCCTTTGAAGTAACCTTTTCAAACTTGACTGTGGCGTAACATGCAGACCTGAAAGTATGTGAAGTATGAAACACATCTGAAGCTCTGTGTTTCCGTGTGTGTGCAATGCAAGTGACGAGCACCCCAGAGGGCTCCTTCATGTCTCCCCCAGGCCAGTGCCCCGTACCCCCATACATACTGCCTCTTATCACCACAGGTTCGATTTCTCTGTTCTTGAATGTCATGTGAGTGGAATCACGCAGTAGGTTGCCTTTGTTTTATTTTATTATTTATTTTGAGACAGGGTCTCACTGTGTCGCCTAGGCTGGAGTGCAGTGGTGTGATCATGGCTCATTGTAGCCTCAACCTCCCAGCCTCAGGTTATCTTCGTGCCTCAGCCTCCCCAGTAGCTGGGATCACAGTCACGTGTCACCACTCCCAGCTAATAAATAGGCTGCCTTTTATGTCTGGCTCGTTTTACCCAGCATAATGTTTTAGAGATTGATCACATTGATCATACGTGTCAATGGTGTCTTCCTTTTTTTTTTTTTTTTTGGAGACAGGGTCTCGCTCTGTCACCCAGCTGGAGTGTAGTGGCTCGATCTCAGCTCACTGCATCCTGTACCTCCTGTCCTCCTGGGCTCAAGCAGTCCTCCCACCTCAGCCTCCTGAGTAGCTGGGACCACAGGTGCATGCCACCACACCCGGCTAACTTTTGTATTTTTGGGGGAGATGGGATTTCACCATGTTGCCAATGTTGGTCTTGAACTCCTGGGCTCAAACGATCCCCCCACTTTGACCTCCCAAAGTGCTGGGATTACTGGCATGCACCACCGTGCCCAGCCTGGTTTGTTTCTTTTGAGTACTGAATAGATTCCATTGCACAGATGTCTTCATGTCCCACAACTGATTTATCCCATCCTCTGATGAATATTTGGGTTGTTTCTATTTTGATTTATGAATAAGGCTGTTATGAAGTTTGCATCTAGGTCTAAGTATGAACACACGTCCTTTCATTTCTCTCAGGTGGATTCCTAGAAGTGGCATTGCTCAGTCATAGAGTAGGTGCATGTTTACTTTAGAGAAATTGCCAGACTTTTCCCAAAGCAGCTGCACCATTTTGTCTCCCACCAGCAGTGGGCGAGAGTTCTGGGTGGTTCCGCTTCCCCACCAGCACTTGAGCACTTGGTGGGTTTTTTTTGTTTTTTGTTTTGTTTTTGAGACGGAGTCTCGCTCTGTGGTCCAGGCTGGAGTGCAGTGGCACAATATGGGCTCACTGCAAGCTCCACCTCCCAGGTTCAAGCTGATTCTCCTGCCTCAGCCTCCCAGTAGCTGGGATTACCGGTGTGCGCCAGCACGCCCAGCTGATTTTTGTATTTTTAGTAGAGATGGGGTTTCACGGTGTTGGCCAGGCGCTTGGTGTTGAGTCACTGGTGGGTGTTTTCCCGGATCCCAAGGTGGCTTTACTTTGCATTTCCCTGATGACTCACAGAGGTTAAGCACCTTTTCATATGTTTATTGGCCATTGGAATTTGGTCGTTTGTGAAGTACATGTTTTTATTGTCTGTCTAGCCTTTTTAAAATTGATTTGTAAAAGTCGTTATATATTTTGGACAATTTCTTTGCGTTTTAAACGTCATTTCCTACCTTTATGGGCTGGCTTTTCAAGAAAGCAGTTTTTTTTGTTTTGTTTTGTTTTGTTTTGTTTGAGACGGAGTCTCACTTTGTTGCCCAGGCTGGAGTGCAGTGGTGTGATCTCAGCTCACTGCAACCTCTGCCTCCTGGGTTCAAGTGATTCTTCTGCTTCAGCCTCCTGAGTAGCTGGAATTATAGGCGCATGCTACCATGCCTGGCTAATTTTTTATATTTTTAGTAGAGATGGGTTTTTGCCATGTTGGCCAGGCTGGTCTTGAACTCCTGACCTCAGGTGATCTGTCCACCTTGGCCTCCCAAAGTGCTGGAATTACAGGTGCGAGAACACCACGCCTGGCCAGGAGGACACTTTTCATCCTAAGTAAATCACTTACTTTCATCCTAAGTAAATCACTGGGCCTTCCAGGCAGAAGGAACAGCATGGGCAGAGACCCAGAGTAGAGAATGTATTTAGCATGTTTTGAAGAAAGGACAATGTGAAGAGGCCAGTGTGGTGGAAGCACAGAGAGGGAGATGGGGAGCAGGGAAGTACATGTGGGTGGAGGACACTGGGAACGGAAGGACTTAGTGTTTTATTCCAAGCACAATCAGAAGCTGTTGGGAAAACGCAAGCACAGATAAAAACGGTTTTCTCATCATTTGTTAAAAATCTTGAGGCTGTGACACCATGAAAGACAAATAACGGTCTCAATACATGATCTTATCTGTGCAACACTGTGGGGTTCTTTTTTTTTTTGGAGACAGAGTCTCGCTCTGTTGCCCAGGCTGGAGTGCAGTGGGTGCGGTCTTGGTACACTGCCAGCTCTGCCTCCCGGATTCACGCTATTCTCCTGCCTCAGCCTCTTGGGTTGCTGAGACTACAGGCACCTGC